AAATATATATATATATATATATATATATGTATGTATTATTCCCGTGGTCTTAGTACTCGTAGTTCGAGAAAATTATGGTTACTCGCCGTTTAATTTTAATTCAACGGTAAAACAGAAAGTACAACAACAAAATTAAATGACAACATACCGTCAAATTAAAATCGAGCAGTAGGAGACAAATTTTACTCAGACTATGGGCTATGGAGTACGGATCTATTTATATGTCTTAGGGTAGCGGAGTAAGATTCTCTCCTCTCTTATTCCTATATTCTTCCCTCCCTTCATGTCACACTTTGTTTTTTGTCTTTTTGTCCTTGTAAAAAAACAATATAAGATTTTAACATAACTTAATCGTAACTGTTCAAATAGGATGGAAACAAAGGGGAGAGAGATTCCTCCTACTAGGATGGCATGATTAATAAAACTGCAACTGGTCATTGGATCACTTGTGGGTCCCACCAAGGAGGTATCCAACATTTCCAACTCATGGAGAGAATTTTCAATGTGGACAGAACACGTGGCGTAATACTATATATCATTATACAATTCAAAGGATACTTGAAAAAAGAATTTCCCTCCAACTATTTGATGATATGTGGTATTTCATCTCGTGTTCCGAACTTACTAAAAAGTCTATTCAACTCATGATAGGCAACCTCATTGTCCACCATGCTTCCCCCTCCACTAAAAATATTCGAATTTCACAATCAAATTATTAATAAAAAGAAAACGTATCAAATTATTATGCAGAGAGGATGGAGAGAGCAAATGCTGTCTCCACTGGGAGGTTGGGTGCGTGAGAGCTTATCAATTGCCACGTGACTGTTGGGACGTATAGGTAAATAGAAAATATTGTGGGGGAGATTTTTCAAATTACCACCTGAATTTTTCTGTAAAAAATAAGTACTTGTGAGTTGTGATGCAAAACTGAATATTTTTTTTTTCCGATGCGGTTAACCATCGGAAAACTGAATTTTAGTTGTATTCAGGTAAATGTTGAGATTTTCTAATATGTTTTGAGGGCGGGAATACCTTATACACTAAGATTTTTATTGTTAAAATTTTAGTCAAAGATGTAATAACAACCAAAAATCCGGGCATAGAGAATAGAACGTAGCATAGTAGAACTGTAAGTTTACATGTGACAATTTGAGAAGATTTCTAGTTACCAATTGGAATTTAAGAACACGTATTGGATGAATGTGGTCAATGAGTAAACAATATTTTATTATTGTGGTATTATTAAAAGGTTGCATATATTTTACTTGACTGTAAATCAAAACAGGTTTCCCGGTTTCCGGTCAAGACAGAAAAAGGGCACTTTTGAAGCAAGTGAGAAGCCGATAACTGGGTTTTTGGAGGCTTTTTGCCGTAACGGACCTGTTCTGCAATGTCTCTTCAACCAGGTTACTCTCTCTCTCTCTCTCTCTCTCTCTCTCTCTCTCTCTCATCAGTGTGTGAAAAATGTGAGTTCTTTAGTGCGTTTTCTTATTAGTGTTTCAGAAAAACAATAGCTTGCATGGTTGTTCTGGTATATGGGTTTGCTCTAGTTGCAAAATTATGAATCTTTGTGTTTTATGGGATTTATTTATTTTTTGCCCTTTTTTTTTTTGGGGGGGGGGGGGGGGGTTCAATCTTACTGGGTGAAGAACTTTTGTGTTTAGTATTGAATGTTAAGGTAAGGTATTGACTTTGTGTTAGAACACATAGAATTAAGGTGGTGGGTGATTACATATGCGTTGTTTGAACTGTAAATTTATTTCTGGATTTATTTTTGTTGCCAAATTTGAGAGATGGGATTAATTTAATGATGCTATCTCCCACCCCCCCCCCCCCCCCCCAAAAGAAAGTAAATTCATGAATTTTACCAAATGGGATTTAAGCAAGTTATCTTAATTTTGATCAGTTTGTGGTATGCAGGAGGTGATTGATGTCGATCATCGAACGTTGCCGTTTGCACAAAGTAAATGAGTTTATATTTTCTCCAACCATGTTGTCCACCATGAGAGTATGGCTAGATGATTTTTTATGTCGATTTTGAGCACGGGTTTTTCCAGAGGGCTAAATGACGATAGCTTTGTTCTAAGAACCACACTACTTAACATGCTGAATTTTTGTGACATTGAGAGTTGAGGATACTATTGAGGTTGCGTGGTATGGACACAGCCAACAACAATGAGACTAGCCAGCCTTCGATCCAATTCTGCAATTCTTACAGAGTGGCAAGCCTTTTCGACACAATTCTGGAAGCAACCCAAGTGGCAGATTTGAAAGACCGGTATATTCTAGGTGAAGAATTGGGATGGGGACAGTTTGGTGTCATTAGGGCATGCTCGGATAAGTTTACTGGTGAGGTTTTAGCTTGCAAGTCTATCGCCAAAGATAGATTGGCCACGCACAATGATGTGCGCAGCATCAAGCTTGAGATTGAAATCTTGTGTAGGTTGTCTGGGCACCCGAATGTTGTAAATTTAAAGGCAGTTTATGAGGAGGAAAATCATGTGCATTTGTTGATGGAGTTATGTGCTGGAGGGGGAGCTTTTTCATCGGCTTGAGAAGCAGGGAAGATTCTCAGAAACTGATGCTCGGGTTCTTTTTAGACATCTGATGAAAGTTGTTAAGTATTGTCATGAGAACGGCGTTGTTCACAGAGATTTGAAGCCGGAAAACATTCTCTTGGCTACAACTTCTTCATCCTCACCAATTAAGTTGGCAGACTTTGGCCTTGCAACCTACATCAAACCCGGTGAATTTTCATTTTAATCTCAACTTTGTACCCCATTCCTTCTGTTTAGATTTTTCTACTAGGCTTAATTATCTGTCGCATTCTAATCACCTTGGTGTTTGTATCAGCAGGGCAGAAACTGCATGGGACTGTTGGCAGTCCATTTTACATAGCTCCAGAAGTACTTGCAGGAGGTTATAACCAGTCTGCTGATGTATGGAGCGCTGGAGTTATTTTATACATACTTCTTAGTGGGGTGCCTCCTTTCTGGGGGAAGACTAAGTCAAGAATTTTTGATGCTGTAAGGGTTGCAGATCTGTGGTTCCCTCCCGATCCTTGGGGTCACGTATCTGCATCTGCCAAGGAATTGATCGCTGGAATGCTTTGCGTTGATCCTTCCAGAAGGCTCACAGCTGCACAGGTTCTAGGTACATCATTGTGTCATTGTTATATTGTAGCCCGTACCCCGTACCTGTGGTAATTACTAAAACATTCTATATCAGTTCTCTTTATTGAGAATCTAAACTTGTCACTAAGGATATGATTCAGATATATTTTATGATAATTGAGGCTTTCCAAACACTTTAGATTAGGCCATTAATCCTATCCCTTGGGAGCGATCACAATTATGCGAATTGAAAATATTCATAAATACTTTTAACTCTTTTGGAGCGGGGTGTATGGTTATAGAATCTTATCTGCACGCCATCAATCCACAAGTTCGTCAATCTTGAGTTGTAACGTGCTGTCACAAGTTAATGCAGTTTTTTGTTTCCTGTAACCAGCCAACACAAGAATTCAATCCTCCCAAAACTGCCCATGAAATGTCATCACGCATGTCTTTTAAATTGCTAAAATATTGATTCTAGACGTTTATTCTTAGTTTCATTCATAATTATGTTTGATAATGCAGCTCATCCATGGATGGAAGATCGTGCATATGCAAGTCAAGAGACACGCAAGCTGGACAATCAATTTCACAAACAGCTGGAAGTGGGTGGAGGTTCTTTCTCTACACCATTTATCTATACGAATCAGAACTTTAGCTTAGATGATGGCTCACCCACAGCTGGTGATGTGGAACTGTGGCAATCACCTGCATTCACATGCAAATCATCTTCGTCGGGTTTTCTAGTTGACAACGGTAGTCTTTGCCCTGCATCTGGAGGTTTTTCTTTTAGCAGCTGTTATGAATTAAGTCCGCTGGAGTTTTCTTCACCAGTTCCATCGATGCCTAGCTTTACCTTCTTCAGTCCAAGTTCTGCGGTAGAGCAAAGAAACATCTCGTTAAGATTTAAAACCAACATGGCGACATTAGATACGGCGTATGTAGGTATACATTTCTTATTCCCTAGCTTGTTTGTTTATTCGAAGCTGGCTACAAATTAGGTACGTTGTTGCTAAAATGACTAATCAGCTGGTTTATCTGTCCTTAAAATCCTTAATGGGGTTATTTCTTCGGAGAAACGCAGAGTCAAGTGTGGAGAAGCTAATTGTGCTGACAGATTGCTCAGCTGTCAAGTGTGACGGTGGAGAAGTAGAGCGCAAAGAATTTTGGAGAGGCGGAACAAACGGGCCTTCTAGGGTTGCTGGAATCCACAGCAAGAGGAACAACACGATTGGACTTGGCGAGCTTGATCAGCTTAATCTGGTTGTAGCCGAATCAGTCATACGTTGGGCGTCATGCACGCATATCCCTACTGTCCCATCGCTTAGATTGTCGCTCGTCTGCTAGACCGGTGAAGCATATGAAACAGCCGTTGAGGCACACGTAATTCACACCATGTAATGTAAATGAGAGAGACACAAAAGCGTTGTGGTGTTTAATCTTGTGGTGTAGTGGAGGGGTGATGCTTTTCTACTTCTTCAAGTAATTGCTCCATTGTTTCTTGTGATCATTCCGCAACTAGCCTTTTGTCTAGAACTATATTTCCTCATTGAAAAATCAAAACAAAAATAAAAGTACATTTGATAACCGCCGGGTGTTGGATGTGGTGGCGGTGGTTAAAACCTAGTTCCGCCACTGGCTGCGGTGGCCGTTGTGGTTTAGTATCCAATGAGAGAGCTCCAAGATCAAGCATTTATCTCCAGGTGTAGGTAGACATATCAGAATCCCTTGCTTTCTTCTCTCCAGTTAGCAAGTTACAACATTCTATAGAATGACAGCAAAAACCTTGCACATGAACATGGTTATACAAGTAAAAGCAAGCAACGTGCACAAGTAAAAGGCGAACATCTCAACGGAAAAAATGTACACGGGGAACAATCAACGACGAAAAACGGTGAAAAATTGATGCATATATGATCCAACAATTGTCAGGTAAATGGGATAAAGTGGATAAATAACAACTTTGATAGGTATTTTGGTGATACAAGGTTGCTAGCTTCTTAAACACACTAATTTTATTGAGTCTAACATCAAAACTGACCCTGCTCGATTCAGAGCCTCAAAAAACACGAGCCAGCTAAACAAGCCGCCCTTGCAAAATTCTTAAAAAAAAAAAAAATAAGAGTGAAGAATTAAAATATTTTCCAGTAGTACACGATTACGTTGTTGTAGCTCACGGTACATCAACTGGCTTTCAGGATGCAGGGGCATATTCTTGGATTGCTGTGGCCAGTTTATTTCTATCCTCCTCTGTTTTCAACCTGATTAAAAAGGTACGCGCCACGACATTTCCATCACTGTCGCCCTACAAAATCCAAGAGAAATTGCACATATTGTCACATGATATGAACCACAAGTTAAAATATACATGCTTCACCGAGTACCTAGCATCATCCTAAATTACGTAGAAGGCAATTAAGCCCCACTACTGAATAGGATCCTACCATATTTCTTGTTCTTAGATTTAATTAACACATCAAATTCTTTAATCAAACCCACCCTAACACAAACTATAATTTCAAATTTCCCCACTGAATGTGTGTATTTCTCTCAGATCTACGAGGATAAAACTAATCAATGAATCATGTAACAACTAGAGAATCCCAGAGAAAACAATCAAGAGTATTTTTGGCAGCTAAACCGCTTATAATAGCCTTTTTGTGGGCCAGATGTTTAATTGATAGTCGTCTAACCCTGCCGTATTTTTTTTTCTTTGTTGTACAGTTAAATTGACCAAAAATTCTAATTAAATATCAAATACCAGCATTGTCTTACCGCAGTATGAAATATTGCAACAAGGGAATTCTTCTGTACATTTGTCTTAATGCCAGAATATAACAAAGCATTAAGCTGCACTCTTCCCACCTGCCATCAGTAAAGAGAATACAAAGTGAAACTTCTGCTGAAGACATACATGACTTTTAAATGCAACAACTTCAACAACGAAAAGGGTCAACAAAAATAGAAAAGATTAATCTTTAAAAGAACAACGAAATGGGAATAAAGCTACAGAAATGAAGATTTTCTTGTTCTCTCAAACAAAAGCAAATCCAATAATTACATCCCTTTGCCAACATACCACACTTCTGAAAGCACACAAGAAAACTAAAAAAACAAAATTTAATGTGTCAGACTGCATTCTAATACTCAAAACCATATATGTCTGGAAGGAAACATACATCATTTCGGACAATGATTGTTGGTTTTGATTCTTTTGTACCCTTGCTGATACCCTCTTTGCATTTAATAGATAGCTGCCCCGTGCCTTTATCTTTCCATGCATCTTTATCTGCTGGATCACTTGACTGGAATATCCGAAAGAAAAATGGTGTTAAAATCAGTGAGAATGTGGAAGCTACAAATGGCGCTTGGCATGTACAATCTCAAGTTACAAATGTGAAACAGACGTAAATTGCATCACAAAAATTTCCTAGGGAAAATTGGTACAGCATGTGCTTCAAATGTGGCCCAGTCTACGCCACTTCAGCACTTAACGTCTAATTAGATGGGGAAACTAACGGAGGGGTTAAATTGCTGCAATTCAGAAACCACATGGTGTAATGTGCAAAAACTAAAACCTCGTTGCTCATTTCGCAAATGATCCCCAAACCTTGTAGTGTAAAATGCAGTCCAATTTCTAAAGGATGAGACTGTCCCGCCTTATTTATTTGTATGCTGCTTTTCTTTTGTTGGAAACCAATACAATACCGGACAATAAAATATTAGCATCGGTAACTGCAGTAAAGGAGTTGAGATTACAAAATGCATAACTTAACCCTGATGCAGCAATCCACAAGTGTAAGTCTACCAATGTGTATTGTTTAAATACTATATTCTGTACATATGGAAATGGATATGTCTTGCATGATAACATCTTCGTATAACCCAAACTTGGAAAATCTAAGGGAGGTATCAATAAACTGATACCATCACACATGCTTATAAACTTTGAACGAAAAAAGATCAAATGCATGGAAAAGAAAAAAAAAGATCAATTACAAAATTTGGAAATCAAGAAAGGGTTTTTTTTGGTAGAGTGTGAACAAATTCACAATGCTATTTATGAATGTTATAATAGAAAATATTACAAAATTTTATACGCATATACCTTCACATAAAGTTTGCACTTGACTTCATGGACAACAACAACACCCTTCTCTTCAGATTTTTCCACAGAAGGGCTGCCAGGTTGCTCCAATTCATTTTCTGAACCAGAACAAGAACATTCAATACTTAAAAAGAATCAAAAAGACCATATCGAGATAATTCCTACAATTATCAGCAAACGTAACCTTCACCATTAAACTTTAACAGCTATAAAAATGGCGAAGTGTTGTACAATGCAAACCCTATATGTCCACAAGCTTGGACCATGAACCTGACATGGAAGCATAAATATAATCATGTCTTGCAAGTTGCAACATAGACACCACTAGTAGAAAACTAAAAGAAATGCACTTTGGAGAGACAATAAATTCAAATTTAATGACCACGAATTCATAGACGAATGAATTTCCTTCCCTTAAATTCTGAAAATCAAGAAAAGCTTCTTTATACTGTCAGGAAAAATACAACATGACAGAAGCATTTGAATATGATAAGCCAAGTTGCAACAGAAAAATTATTTTGTTAACTCCTGACTTTGCAAGTCAAGGAAGTGCCTTTATTTGTTGATAGTCTTTGAAAACAAAAACAAAACAAAGATGGAACAAAAAATAAACCAATTGTCCCAGATTTCTTAAGTGAGGTGTCCTGAATGTGTCAATTTCGTCCCCAGATTACTCTTTTTTGAATTGGATGTCTACGAAACATGTTAGTGCTGGAGGACTCAACACGAATGATACAGGTATTTACTGATGGGTCGACATGTGCACCAATTTAAAACATAGTTATATTTTATGTTGCAGCAATAGCCCTTAAGGTTTCAAATTAACTGACAAATTAAAAACTGAATCAAATGCCGAGCCCTTAATAAAAAGGAGCAAAAAAGAGGTGGTATTAGCAATCACAAAGTCTTCTAACAAACCGAATTCAAACCAAACATCGGAAGCTTAAAAGCTTCCCTCAGAGAAACGTTTCTATATAACAAGTTGAGAACTCATTCATCAAGACAATAACTATAGTTAGAAGCTTAAAGCATACAAAATAAAAACAAGGCATGAAATCAAACATACATGAAGAATAAATTGAGGGAGAAAATTAACAGAAAATAAGAGCAGTGAAAGGTAAAATAGCAAAAACTTATTGTCTCACCATCATCAGCTTCATCTTGCTTTGGAGGAACTGAACTTTGAAATCCTGGTAAGAATTACCAAAAAGAAAATAAGGATGTCAAGTATACATCAAATTCACACAAGTAACACTTCTCTACTAGAAAGAGTATTGCTGCTAGATTTTCAAGGGTGCCATTTCTCCTTAACATTCTATAATTCATGATATTAGTGATAAATCAATGAGAGCAAGAAAGCAAGTAACAAGTTAACTGTGAAAACATAACAAGCTACTTGCTACCATTTTCAACGGTAGATTTAACATTCTGAACTTTTTAGGAATCTACAAATTTTATCATAAATACTTCGGAAAGCACTCTAGAAGTTCAGTATTTTCTCCTAGTCAGCATACCCTAAATTACTTGTACCATGTTCTTTCTGTCCATCAAAATAATTCAACATAATTTAGGACCACCGTGTAATCTGAATTTATAATTGGATCTACTATGAAATACATCAAGAGTCGAGACCATTTATAACATAAATGAAACATGTCGTTAATATGATACCTACCAAACATGGAAGGGGGCTGATTGTTGGAAGACAGCCCAGGGCTTTGACTGTTGGATAATAATCCAAAACTGGGAGTGTTGGAGAAAGCCGCTGAACTCTGAGTATTGGAGGACAACCCTGAGCTTTGACTGTTGGAGAAAAGCCCAAAACTGGGAGTGTTGGAGAATGCCGCAGAACTTGGACTACTAGAAAATACTCTGGAGCTTTGATTATCAGAAAATACTGCCGAGCTTTGACTATTGGTAAACATTCCAAAGCTTTGAGTTTTCTTTTGATCTGATCCTGTGCTCTGACTTGTGGAAAACATTCCAGAACTTTGAGTATTGGGAAATAGTCCAGAGCTCTGACTAGTCGAGAAGACTGGTGAGCTTTGGCTGCTGAATATTCCTGAAGAGCTTTGACTGTTAGAAAATTCTCCCGCAGAAGTTTGGACGGTAGGTGTTACTCCAGTAGAGCTGTGGTTGTTGGAGAAGGCACCTGCAGAGCTTTGGCTGTTGGAGAAAACTCCAGAACTCCATGAAGTTGTAAAGCTAGCAGTTGTACTAACTGGTGAAAACAGGGGTTTTGTCTGAATTAATTTCGTCTCACTATCCGTGGACACGGGAACTATTTTCTTTTCAGAAGTCATACAAGATCCTCCTGCTGCCAAATTCTCTCCTTTTGCAGCAATTACTTTAAGCCAGTTAACAACATCACTGAATTTCTCCTGAAATGAGAGGGTGAATACAGAAAATATAAGTGGGACAACACTAAATTTGATAAACATTTTGTTTTTCAGTACAATAGAGAAAGACAACACCAATGGCAGAACTGAAACAAAACAAGACGGTGTCTGGCTAAACCAGCCCTATCGTCACCAAGCATATCAATAATGCTATGACAGAAGCATTCATTTAAAGAGAAAATGAGAAAGGAGGAAGGGTGGGGGGAGAGATACAGAAACTAATAAAGACAAGAGGGAAAAAAGGGTATGCAGGTGACAACATTTTCCATCCCGACCCTACCATGCCAAGGGGAAATAATTAGGAAGGAAATATAGGTACTGAACCTACAATTATTGAATGAACCGATCCAATTGGCTTCTGTGAAGAATCTTTATTCAACACCTCGTCTGATTGCAAAGAATGTAGAAGTACTAGACTGGATACATATCCTTTAAAACAGATATAAAGTTGAAGAGAATTACCATAATGTTTGAAGCATGGGCTAGGTAGTCATGGACACCCTCTTCCCAAAGTTCATCAGGATGATTCTTTAGTTGTGTTTGTACCCAACTGAACAAATAGAGGCATATTTATAGCGAAAACATTATCAATTCTGGAAGGTCCAATAAACATAAGACAACTGAGGGCTATGTGTTGAGTAGCAGGAATAATTTCGAGAACAAATAGGAAATTCAAATAATGTAGAAACTTCAAAATTATATGAAGCATATCAAGTCATACTGAATAATAGAATGTGCACATCATATTTGATAAAGAAGAATACTGTCAATAAAAAGAAACCGATTTTGTTGGAACCCTAATAAAAAACTTAGACATATTCATATACAATATGATGAAAGCATATAGTTGTAGAAATAGAAATAAGGCGGACCTTGCAAATTGGTTATTCAGAGCTCTCACATGCTGCCGAGATGATGCAGCCCGCTGTGCATCCAAAGGAGCTGTATCTGCCAATTGCTCTTGAGAAGGCTCTGCCCTATTAGAGTCAAATGAGGATCCCGCCATAATCCTTTTATTCCGGAACTGCATATTGTTGAAAGAGAAAATATAATATACATCAACATACTGAAATTCCAAAATCTCTAACCCCCACCAATAAAAGAAAAACTATTGAAAAACTTAAATGTGGAGATTTGAAACCACAAACAGTCCGTTTGAAGTCTTGCATAAGATCCATAGTCACCGATAATATTTGTCTCATATTATTTGACAGCCATTGAGCCTACGTTGAGAGGCAACTGAGGAAACAATCCATCAAACATTGCTTAACTAGAAAGAGAATTTTCCTCCCTTTAATTAGTGAATATTAAGATTTCAATGAAAGCCCACAATTCAGTACAGCACTGAAACAATGAGTGTTGAAATACAAACTGACAACAAACCAACCAACCAGACGCAAACGAAATAAATTAACAACAGAAAGCCTAACTTATTCGCTTCCAATAAATACAGATATACACCTTCCCTATCGAAAGGTGAAACTTTAATATTACTCCAAGTCGAAGCTCATAAACCTAACATCTTCCTTGACATCAATAAAACCTGCTCATTGGTTGCATCGACCATAACTTCTCCGTCTACCCTTCTCCTAAATCCCCACTAAAGAGAATGGCAGCCTAACTGCTTGTTTAAAGTCTGCACATCTTCCACTACTATTCCTACTTTATTACTTCGTCTACCCCCAATTCCTTGGTCAGCTCAGGAATCGACCAAAACTGAAATTTTTCAAAAAATCCACAATCCCAATCTGAAAAACTAATAAAAACCCCATAACCCTTTTAGATTATACAGTCCTTAATTAATAACATAATGCAAAATTGCAACCACCATAAGCTAATTGCCCCCTAAACAGCTCGACTTATCAGCTTAAAATTCAAACCCTTTGGGATTTATTCACACAAAAAAAAAAAAAAAAAAAAAAAAAAAAAAAAACATAAAAGCCCCAATACGCAGGGCCTCCAATACACTTCAATCCACAAAACAGAAACTAGAAATTAGGTTTTTTTCCCCTCAAATTTTCAATAAAAACAACAAAAAGGTGAAATTTTTGAAAGGGAAAGTGGTACTTACGGCCGAGTCAGAGTTGAAGTCCGATACAGAAAAACGTTTCGGACCTTTCGTCATCATGATTCGAGCTTTCAGGGTTCAAAAAGCGGAATAGGGTTTTTCAGAATTTCTCTGTTTTGGCTTAACACCAGCTACACTGCAAGCAAAACGAGGAAAAAATAAAAAGCATTTTTCCATTTTTATATTAAATTAAAAAAATAAAAGGAACGGTGATTAGAGCCTTTGGATCAAGTGGGGAACCAAATTTTAATTTGGACCGTCGGATTGGGTTCCCACTACAGTATTATTTCACATGGGTCTTTGTATTTATTGGGATTTTTTTTAATTTTAAATAATCGATATTATGATATTATCCATGCCAAGTGATAAGAGATGTAGGCTAGGCCTTACACTGAACTAGCCATAATAATGTGGTTCAAATTCGTTTTTAGCGACAATTAAACGTTAGACCTCTCATTTACAAGTGAAGAAGAACACCACTAAATTATAATACTAAGTGGTTGTATCAATGGGGATTTGGGATCCCCCCCCCCCCCCCGAGCACCTAATTAAAAAACCCACTACACCCCTCCCAATCCATAGCTCAAAAGGAGTGAGGTCAACAGAAGGAGAAGCTATTGAATCTTGTTTCAGAAAGGCTACCAGACTATAAAGAAGGGATCGGTCCCAAACCAGAAATCCTGGATTCCTAGATGGCAAGAATCAACATTTTTTGGCGCTTTGGGCATAGCATAGATGTTGGTGAGATAATGTATTTTAGAATACAAATGATCTATTTCTAAGTAAAGAAATCCAGTAGACGTTTCAAGGTTTGTCTCAATTAGATGCATCAAAGGCACCAAAGGTGTGATGGGAGGCTTGAAAAACTGCTCATGTCTAGCCACAGAGTAGTTCGCAGAAGAATCTTTCTTAGGACTACCGTCCTGCCTCAGTCTCCTCTTGTCTCTTTTCTTTCATTCAGTGCCTGGGTGCGCGCTTTGCCATGAAAGATCTCAGTGATCTTCATTTCTTCTTGGGAATCGAAGCCAAATGTACATCGACTATTCTAGTCTTAACTCAAGGCAGGGTAGATAACCTTCTAACTGAGACCAAGAGAGATTCTTTTTTTCTTTAGATTTCGAGCTAGCTCTTAATCATGCCTTCCCAGATAAAGATGCATTATTTGTTGTTCTAGTCCGAAAAAAGAGGCTTGGCCTAGATCCCCAGCTTTTCACCTAGACAAAAATCCCTTGACACAATACCTAGCTGATTTAATGCCAGACTGACGTCAGCCACATGCAGCCCTTTTTTTTGCACTAGATGTGTGGGAAACACGCGCGTTCCCGATTGGTAGCCAGCCCGAATGGGGGGTTAGGGGTTTGGTAGAAGAGCAACGTGGCACTCACGAATTCGGTAGAGGAGCAATGTGGCACAACGTTGATAGCTGGATTTCTAACGACTAGTTTTCTGGACCGTTGGATTTCCAGTGATAAAAAAAATTAAAATTTAAAACCAACGATTAGTGACATGGCACAATTTGGATTGTTTGGCTTCCAGATCGACAGTCCAGGTTTTTTAGCCTAAAAATATATATAAAAAAAGTCAGAAATCTTACTGTTGGCCATGTATCCAAATTTGGGTTGTTGGATTTCAATCTTTTTTAAATCCAAAGGTCCAGATTAATTAACTCAATAAAAATTTATAAAAAAGGTTAAAAAATAGAACAAAAAATTGTAATTTTTCCTATAAATAACTAACCATTATCTTCCACCTTACACCACATTCAACATTTTCAATACTTTCAACCAAAAATTGTTCTTTTGATTAATGACACATGACGTGACAAGATTAGTTAAAATCCCATCCGAAACTAAAAATGAAATTATTTTATTAAAAAAATTTAATAATATTTTAATACGAATTGCCTAGGAAATTAGGGGTAAAGATGCACTTGGGTATTTACTATTCATTTGGATGGATTGAATTGACTATTGCCTAGGGGATTTTTAGGGGTGGAAATGCTCTAAGGAAAGATTTTTAGGTGTACTAGAAATGCGGTCTGGTTCTCTAAGTGACATGATATAAGTAATGGAAAACATGTTTTTTAAGTATCTAATAACTTGTATTATGACACTTGATATACCAGACCGTATTCTTAGCATGCTGAAAAATTTATCATTTGTATTGACAAATACTTGAAATTGCAAAATTATGAAGGAATTTCATAAAAATACTTTGGGGTGATTCACGAAGCTTTATATACTAAAGATTATTTTTATGAAAAATTTAATTAATACTAAGTGGCAACAATATTACCAAATATTGTGGTTGATCTTTTGGAAGAAACTAAGAGCATCTCCAATAGAGACTCTAAATGGAGTCATCACAACTGTACGACCCTTAAATATACGGACAAAGAGCTTTCAATGGCCAAGAATAAATGTTCTTACCAGTATCTCAATGTATAGAAACTCACCGGGTTCATCAAAGAAATCCTCACATGTGAGGACTACATAGTGACTAAGTTGGGTGCGACTCGATTGAATATTTAGGGGAAAAAAGGCCCATGCGCAAGATGCAGAGCAGCCATGATGACTTAAGCGTCAAAGCATGTGTCCTGCAGCCATATGCTATGTTATTGATTTTTATCGTTCAAAAAATCCAGTCCATATTTAATTTGAGTTTTTTTTCTTCTTCTTTACCGTTGGAGATCAGCTAACGAAATTATATAAACATCAAATTTAGGGTTTTTACTATAGGAATTCTTTCATTGGAGGCAATATTCTTTTAAGGATACAAAAATTCCGATTAAATCTCTAAATGAGTCCTCAATAGTAGTGGTGGGAGTCCTTAATTGAAGATGCTCTAACTCCTAGTCATTTCCCTTCACAATGCTCAGAATCCTTGCCACCTCATCTTTCCTTTCTTTTATCCTTGGATGTGTAGAGAACTAAATTCTAAAAAAGAAAATAAAAAGGACAAAAAAAGGTTGAAAAAGATTTTTAAAAAAAATCAAGAACAAAGGAAACTGCAGCCCTCAATACATCAGAAAACTATCAACTAATCAGAACGGTTCGTTATTAGACCGTGGTCTTTGATTCGCCAAATACATCAGTTTTGTATACTCTTTCATATGTATACATCATTATTGTATACATCATTATTGAAACTCTTCAGTTTCATTTTCTGTTTTCCTCTTCCCTAGTTTGAAAGATTTTGCATATTTGGCAACAGTATGAGAGATCACACCCCGACCAGGGACTTTGTTTTCGGGAAGCGTCTTCATTGTGATTCCCATGGCTATCAGCAGCAGCCCTGTCCCGTGTTGGCCTGTCAAGGGCTTTGTAAATATCATGTATGACAGCAACAATGTGACCGCCTTTCTAGCCGTTGTAATCTGCATTACCAGAACGAAAGATAAACCCACCAGTTAAATGTGTGCATCGATTTCATAATGTAGTTTAAAATTACGGAGATTAGGAGGCGAAAATTACGTACCATAGCAGTGGTGGCAGCTCCGAAAAGGGCAATGAGGGATAGCACAGATACTTGTCCAACGTATGTCGCTAGGGCTTCAAACACTAAAACCCCGTACACATAAGGATGCTGCAAAATCATTGACAAAAGAATAATTAACATTAGAAACAGTTTAGTGTAACAACTTAAAACACTTTTGGGATTTTCATGGGGTATAATTGTGATTGATTCATAATCTCTTTAACATTTTCCGACTTAAGATCATTAAATCCTAATTGTCTGTCCATCACATAGAACACCAATTGGCAATTGGTTCTGATACCACTCAAGTCAATAACTTTAACCTTCTACTGGTATCAGTGGAGTGAATTTTTGTCTCAGAAAACCTCAATATGCAGGTAAGATACCCCATTTGATATATATATATCAATGCATGTGTGTATGGTCATGGATCTCCATGATGAATTCCGAATAGACAGGCATGGTGAGCACGTCATTAATGACTTGACTCCAATGCAAATTCATGTGAAATATATAAATTAAGCAAAGATTAGACATTACTAATTCGTAATTACTTACCTCAGAACAAGAATTCCAGGCCTTAACCAATTCTCCTGTAAGAATCATGGGTGGAAGCAAAAATGGCAACCCAACTACTGTTGAGCAGAACAACATCTCTGTCTGTAAGAAGTTAAAAAGTAAGACATGATTACTAAGACAAAGAGGTAACTTTTTCGTTTATTCCTAAGTTCTATAGCATTTGAAGAACCAGTAAAGAAATTACAGGCACCGAAGATTTACCTGTGTGGTACCAGGATTCAAGGTAAAAATTGCTTCTTGCAAGTTACCCAAAAAGGCATCCATGATTAGAGCACCAGATATCATTATCACACCAGCCATGCTAAAATTGGGAGATGTTTTTGCATCTGCTAAGGTGAAAAGGATCAAACCCATTACTAGAAGCGTTGCCGAGATGTATTCCTGAATCGGGTATTTCCTTCTCAATCCCGGAACAAATGCACCCATCACCATCACCGGTAGTACCTGAGTTTTCGACAAATTTTTTTACAGCAATCAGCTCTAACTGAAAATGTCACAGATTATGTAAATTTATTGACAGTTTTACCTTTGTGGATTTGAACATTATCTGTGCAGGGTAATTAAGCCATGCCAAGGATCCCTTGGTCAGTCCTTGAGAACCCATAAGAACGGCGGAGAGCTTCACATACGTCTTCCATGGATTCACCATTTTCTTAGGGGTGAAGCCTTGAAGGTACATTAGTGCAATATACACAAACCCTTGTACAAAAGTGAAGTACCATCCATAGCTGCAAAATTAGAAAATATAAATAATTAAGGGCCCCTTTGGAAATGCTTATCTAGTAAGCAATTTTGCTCGTAAATGATTTTTTTGCATGATTTTAACTTTTCTACCAAATGCTGCCATAAAGCGCTTCTAGTGATATAAAATCTTTTTAACCATTCTAAAGCACTTTCAAACAAAACTGTATTTCTAAGCGAAATTGAAACAAAGAAAACATGTCATCAGATCAAGGGTAACTAACCTGAATTCGAGACGATTATACACGTATTCCTGCGATCAATGAAAACATGTTAACACAAGAAAAATAAGGGCTGCTTTTAAATTTGGATAAAAAAAAAAACTAACGAAAAATCTAAAAAAAAATCCATGAATATTAATTAAATTATTTATGAAGTAGGACAAGGGAATTCAAGGCCTGCCACAGAGAACCAAAGGAATGACACTAGAGAGGCATAACAAGAAAATAGCAATGAAGGCATGTTTTTATCCAAACATTCTACCAAACTCTGTTTGCTATCGGAGAAAATCAAATAACAGTATAGTAACAAAATAAAACTTGACAATGAACAAGAAGCAAAATTCATAATACGAAACAGTTAATGGTAAGTGATTTCTGCGCGCCTTTTTCTTCTTCTTTATCCATTGTTTATTTCTAACATTTGAATTAAATAATGCGCGAAGAATACGAAAATCTCTATCCATTATTTATTTTTTATGTTTGAATTAAATAATCAATGAAGAATATTAATATATTACGAATGTGAAGGTGTACAACTATTTTTCCTAATTATATCTTCGAATTAAGCAAAAACTGTGAGAAAAAAATGACCAAATAAATATAAAACAAACCTCGCAGATGCCATTGACAAGGTAACCAAAGAAGAAGCCAGAAGAGCAAATGATGAACTGCTGCCACCTCGGCCTATCAGACAGTGAAATCCCAAACAAGAACCTCTCGTCGTCCTCGTTCTTCATCTTCCCCACAATCCAATCAAAACCCAGAAAACTCCAACCTCTGATAAGTCACAAATCCAAGAGCTTTCCAGCTTTTATACTGCAAAGCTCAAGTTTTTATGAAAAAGGTCGGTCTTTTGGATGAAGAAAAAAAGTATAGGGGAGAGAAAGAGAGAGAGGGGAGAGAGGGGAGAGAGAGAGAGTGTACGAATTTTCAACTCTCCTCCTCTTTCTCTCTGCCTCTTCGAAAGGGAAGGTGGCACCTAGCAATGAGGCTTTTGAGGGCTTTGAAAAGAGGATGGTTTGAAGGGTTTTTCCACACCAAGAATCACGGTAGAATTTGGAGGATTTGAAGGGTTAGTGTGTGTGCAATTTGGTTTGTCAAAAGGGAGAGATTTGATGGATTTGGGGGGTCGGTTTGGTTTTTGGTCACTGGTCTGTTAATAGTATTTGACAGAAGTGTGCCTGAAAAAAGAGAAAATACTAAATGGGGTTGCATTTTTCATGCCACTTTGCCTAAACAAATGAGGTGAAACTTGATTGTTATTAACTGTATTATCATGTGACCACTTAAAAAATCTGAAAAATAGTAATGAGAGGCCACATGAAATTTGTGTGCCAAATATAGTATTGATGGTCACATACCATGAGAAAAGGTAAATTGAGATTAAACACTTAATGTAACACTTTTCCATATTTAGGTTTTCGTAGTTGTTGCAAAGCCATTTTTAAACAGTTTCGATGATATGATGAAAGTATTACTAATCAGGAAGAGAAAGATAAATGGAAGAGGTCGGGGAAGAGTAATACATAATCATATAAATTTTAACTAACTGATGTAACATGAAAAATAATAGAAGAATCAACGTACATTGAATCTGTTAAGCGACAAACTTGAACAAAACTAATCTCTCTAGTTTCCAAAACCTAATTTCTCCAATTTTTAATCTATTGGCATGCCATACGAATTTTTACAATAATAAAACTTAAACAAAACTGATCTCTCTAGTTTCCTGCTTGAAGCTGGAAGTTACATTACATATGTAAGTCATTTTTCAAGCCAATGACCTGTCTTTGAATACGACACCGTTTAGCTAGCTAGATAATCAAATCAAGTAATAATTCTTTAAGCAAAGAATTCCAAACCTCAGCCTCCAACTCCAAACCCACCTCCTGTCTTTCACAATCCAACTCTTTACAACTCCCCCACTCATTTTCCATATCTTTCACATAAACTTTTCTTCCTTCTTCCACCTCCCATCCCAACAGCAACTCCTGTGACTCACCATTTATCCAATCCTCCACCGCCTCTCGCATCACCGCGCTTTCGTCACTTTTTTTCTCAACGATTGTCTCCCTGCACAAATCCATCACTACCTTTTCTGCCTTCAAGCTCACCAGTTTATTTGATGTTTTTTCTTCTGTTTTGTTAACTTGCTCTGCATGGCAATTTGCAGTATGCATGAGTGATGCGCGTGCTTCGGCTTCGGCCTCTGAATCCATTATCGCTTTCATTCGTTGCTCTAAGTCCACTGGTTCCTGTTGAGCTAGGTTTTCGATCCGTCTGATATTTCTCATAAGTTTTTGTTGAGTACCTGCACAATGATCATAAAATTAATCAGTAAAAACAAGCACTCAAAAATACTGTTATAACATAAACGCTTCTAGGCTTTTTTGTCTTCAAAAGCGTGTTTGATCATTTGAAAACAATTTTAGCCTTTTGAAAAGCCATGTCAAACAAACTCTAAGTGACGGTTTTATGTGTCATTAATTTGTGCCTAACCTTATCGCATGATCATCATGAGACGAAAAATAGACTCCTATATAGATATAGACGACTCAAGGAGAGAGAGAGAGAGAGAGAGAGAGAGAGAGAGAGAAAAAGAGGGGGGGGGGGGGAAGGGAGGGACAGACCTTGCATGCATGCAAGGCTACGACTGAAGGGTGAGCGAGCATGGTCATCATCTTCGTCTTCAAATGGACAATCCAGTACGGACACTGGACTAAACTGTTCCTTCTCCTCTTTATTATTCAGCCATCCCTCCTGTGTCATTGTTACAAAAAAAAAATGTATTAGATATTGCCATGTGTGTGAGTTGACAAGAAAAACAAATGAAACGTGGATTTAGTTTTCAAAATTTTATTTACAAATTTAGTTTTTCTAGTATTATTTTTTTCGATATTGTCCACTTGCTTAATTTTGTCCATTAATTTTTTTTTTCCGTTTTCCCTAATGACTAAAAAAAGAAAATGGATCACTCCCAACAAGTATTGGTCCGTGGGTTCACTTTATGAGTTATGGACTGAGGGTCAACATTTTGGTCCACTAAAAAAGTTCGAAGAAATTTGAAATGAATGACCCACCAAAAAGATTTAGAAAATAAATAATCCCACCAAAAAGATTTAGTTAATAAATAATCCAACCAAAAATACCTAATTAATCAATCAGACCGGACAATAAAATACTACTGGCGGTTAGAGATGCCAAACCTAGCAAAATAACACGACTAGGCCAAAGCCCACCAACCCACGCCTTTCCATTCAAACGCCTTTGTTCGACAGGGGCTTTATAGTAATATCACAATTATAAGATGGAGGAAAAATCTGGTATGTTGTGTAACATGATACTAGTTAGCCTCACGCTTTACGACGCCGTATAGCCCGCAGGTCAACATGAAGTCGCGGGATCGTAGGCGTTGAAATTCTCGAAGTAAATTTTAATCCTATAGCTTTTAGAAGCAGCTCGTACGATTTCCCAGATATACCACACATGTGAGAATCCACTTTTTTCCCGCTAACCCCACAATTTTAAAATTCCCAACACATCCCTTGCTAATTCCACCCTATATACTATACCAAATGTAGTTTTGGCCCCCTTCTAGCTTTTATTTAGTTTGTGCCTCCACAATTGGGGGAGGGACTCAAGACTTCCATGGCATGGTTTGACCTCCATCGTGAGACTATAGGTTAACGATACCGTATGTGGAAGTTTCTCACAACATAATATTGTATTGTTAACATGAGATATCACAACAATGATTTGTAACGGACACGAGTATATGAATTAAAATGTGGTAGTGTAGCATTATTCATAACTATTCTTTAAGTTAAAATCTTGTTGAACTGCATGGATTAAAAGTGGGATTTAGTAGTTAGATCAATCAATTAACCAAACGAAATAGACCATTCGGGTAATGCTAGGAAGATTAAATTTGTAGACAAAATTTACAAACTAAATGATGTGTCATCAATAGGAATCATGCAAGTTTATCAATGTACAAGTAGTAATCCAATCATCTATTTACATGTCATTTAGTTTACACAATTTTATTTACAAATTTAGTCTTGTATTACTCTAGACCACTCTTTAGCCGACAGAGAGGAGAGATTTTTTAATGTGACCGAAATACGGGATGATGCACCACGTGTTATCATACAAATGGTGGGATATGTGTGTTAAAAAGCTAATAACTTAAAACATGGAATATTTTATCACTTATATAAAACACGTGGTGTACTACTCGTATTCCGATCACAATGAAAAATTTCTTGAGACGAACAATCCATGACCAAAGAAAATTTTCAGTGTGATCGGTACATGGGGCGGTACACCACGTGTCATTATACAAATTATGAGATATGTGTGTTAAAAAGTTAATAACTTAAAAAATAAATTTTTCCACCACTTGTATAAAAATATGTGATGTACCACTCATGTTCTCATCAGAACAAAAAAAAATTTCCCATGACCATGCGAAGCATTAAATAATAAAAACCCATTTGGTTAACGTACCTTATCGTTTTGAGGTGAGCAGGAGGTGGTGGTGGTTGGCCATGCCATGGAAACGGAGTCCTCACCCACTTCCCCCTCACCCACTTCCCCGCCAACTTTCTCGCTGACTTTGTCTTTCACTAAATTCGTCGTTTTGACATCCACGCCGTCGTTTCCACCTGAACTCTGGGAGCTCAAAGTAAACTCGCTCTCCGCCCAACTGTTACTGCTGCTACTGTTACCATCACTTCCACGGCTTCTGGTACTGGTAGAATGTCTGGAGACCGTGACTACGGTTTTAGCTGTGGTGGTGGTGTTTTGATCGGACGGAGGAGGTTCGTCGTGGAGGAACTCACTGAACAATCTCCACCGTCCGATGTCATTCTCTTCTTTCTTCTCTTCCTTGCTCTGTTTTTTCCAGAATCTCTTCCTCCGCAGCCGCCGGGAAAGGCTTTTCGGAAGAAGCAAGACCACTCCTCTCCGTACGGACGGGGGGGAAGGGAGGCTCTTGACGGCGTTAATGAAGGCGTCGCAAGCGGCGGCGGCCCTGGACCGGCTTCGGTGGAGGACTGGCTTTTGCGAAGTAATCCTACTGGGATACTTGTGAGTGGACAGTTGAGACGACGACGATGAGCTCTTGAATTCGATGTCGAGGAGGAAGCGGACGGTGGTTGTGCAGAACTGGCGGCGAGGGAAGGATTTGAAGCCGTTGGATGAGCAGGAGCTGAGATCGTCCATCAGAAAATCTTTCAGCAGCACCGGCCTCTGCTGGATCGCATTGGGTTTTCGAAAATCCATTCCGAAACTTGAGACTTTACGACAAAAAGTCAAATAAAGATGCAGCGAAGCAACTGATAGAGAAATTCAGAGAAAAAAAAAAACAGAAAGCTGTGTTTCTAGAGAGGTAAAAGCTAAGTGGGGTAGTTAGTTGAAGTGGGTTATATAGTGAGGGTGAGGAGAGAGAGAGAGAGAGGGGGGGGGGGGGAGGAGAGAGGTAGGTTCTTGTGATTAAGGAGGTGAAGATCTCAAGGTGGGAGGGGAGACAAAGGACCCAGAAGAGAAGAGAGTTGCAGCAGATGAAGAGGAAGAACCGGAGAGAAACTGAGAGGAGGAGGAGGAAGAAGGAGCTGGGATGGTTCTTGGGGTGGAATTTGAATCCAAGATTGGAGTATTTTAATGATATAAAGATTTGAACTTTACTAGGAGATTGAATATTTTTTGATGCAGATACGAGAGGGTTTGAAATCGTTGAATATTTTATGGGAATTTTTTAGATGTGGAAATTTAATGCGGTTTCTGTTTTTAGGTTTTGGGGTGTATGAGACCATAAGTTGACCTTGTAACGATTTTTTATTTGTTTATGGTATTCTGTCTTCATTTTCCACACCAGAAATCTGTCGACCTTTTCACACGCTTTGACACGTTGCCATGCATCTTTCCTCAGACTTTCATCCAGCTCTCAACTCTCTCCTTTGTTTTTGTCCGGTTTCTCATCTCTTTGATGAGTGTCAGTGAAATAGTGCATCTGGGGGTTACAAAAATGGACTTGGATTATCTGCCTTCCAATTTCTGTGCCCTCATCGTGCCTTTCTGTTTTTGTGGTCACGGTTAAGCCACGTCAACATTTTATATTACTATTTATTTTTGTTTTATTATTTTTATAAAAAAATAATATAAAATATTGACGTGGCTTAACCGTGACCACACAAAACAGGAGGGCACGGGGAGGGCATCTAAATGGGAGGGCAGACAATCCAAGTCCTACAAAAATATCACCAAAATGTCGGCTTCCACCATAAACTAGCAAATTTTTTGGGACCAGGATCCTCTCCTGAGCTAAGGATGAGGATCCTCTTAATCAATGAGTGTGGACCGTTGAATTTTCATCCAACCGTTTGATTTTCATCCAACGGCCAACATAACTTGATGAGGAGGATCCTCATCCTTAGCTCAGGAGAGGATCATGGTCAAATTTTTTGTTGTGTCAACAGATAACATAGTTGAAAAACGAATTTGAATCATATTATTACTAATTTATTGTGAAGTTAAATTTATTCTTTTTCTTAATGTAGATAATATCATATGTTAAAAAAAATGATAAATGTTATTTAATAATAAGAAATTATCTAATATTTAAATCCATCATTAAAATTAGCATGATTGAGAATTATTGAACCAGTGTACTTGTTTGTTTGTGGTAACTAAATATCTTTCAGTTTGAGAAAGAAAAATAAAGAGTGCTCAACCTTATTTTCCTACCCATTTTTTATTGAAAATTTTAATGACATATTTAACCTTTTGTAAAATGACTTTTGAAATCCTAACAAAATTAATTATTATATATATTTTTATGGTCAAAATAACATAAATTCAACATTTTGTTTCCAATTTAAAAAAAACATTGTTATCTTTAATATGGAGGAGAAGTCGTAAAAAGCAAAGAGAGATTTGAGGAAAAGGATATGAGAAGCTGTGAAAAAAAAATGGCGGATGCAATCAACACACTAGCTCTAGTTGCTGCCTTGTTAAAAGTAGAAGAAAAAACAAGACAAAAATTGAAAATTAGAAGGAAAGCGAAGAGCCACGCTCACCCCGTCCAATCTGACGGCAACCATCATCCACTGTTTTGGTGTCTCATCCCCAACTTAATATTTTCTTTTCTCCATCTTAATTGAACCCACTAATAAACAAACTCAACCTTAACCCAAATCGTCATTACCAGTCCAGAAACGACGATCGATTTGACTGAGAATGTCACTCATTTTCCTCATTCCCATTGAAATGGGCCATGTCAAGGCCCTCTTTTCCTCCAAATTTCTAGAGAGAAAGTTGACTGGCGGTGGGAAGGGGGTTGCCATCGAATTGGGTCAAGTGGCGTGGTTTTGAATTTCAATTTTTGTATGCTGTAGGAAAATAGTTGAAAAATGTATCAAGGACATTCTAGGAATAATTGTGGGTGTAAAGAGAGTATTATGTGTTTTTAACTTTTTTTGGTGGGTGAGAATAAAAGATGGGTGAAAAGATAGCATTAAAGAGCCGACGTATTAGCACTCAAAATAAATTTCGAATTTCTACATATAACATTAGTGCATTTATACGCATTTAATAAAAAGTTAAACATTAGATTAATCTAATGATTTCTGTCAATCCACATCTGCAAAATTATATGGCACCTAACACCAATCCCATCTCTCCTTTCTGTATGTTTCCTCGTCCTTCCCAAGACTTCTTCCATCTTTAATTCACAGACCAAAAATCGCAATCCGTGTCTGAACTATCCCTCCCTTTTTTTCAATCTCAATTTCAAAGGCCAAAAGTGCCTTCCCCTTCTTTTTTTTTTTTCCTGAAATCAGCAAAAACAAAAAAAAAAAAAGAATTTAATATATCTGGCCCATAAGGGAGATTAAAGAAAAAAAATTTTGAGTTGGAAAGTTTTTTTTTTTTTTTGGATTTATTGGTTTCAATGTATAATTTTGGAAAAACATGAAGAGATAAAGCAAACTAAATTCAGTTTTATACCTACATAATTGCTGCAAAGAGTTTTAATAAAAATGGAAGAGTGAGAAAGGTGAACTGGAAAGGAAAAATAGGATGAAGGGAAGAAAGAGATCCAAATAATTGAAAGTGATACAATTATAGGTTATTCATTAGATTAATCCAATCGTTATGATTTTGTTAAATACGTGTAAATGCACCGATGCTAAATATTGAAGACTTGGAATCCAAGAAAAATACATTTTCAATTTGGCTGATTCCTTGTAAGGTTATTTTACTTAATAGAAACCCTAAAAATGAACGGTTGGGACCTTCAAATTGCATTAGTGGATTTATATTATATATGGGAAGGGGTGCGTACAAAAAATGTTAGTGAGGTCCACATATGAGATCAAATTTATGCACCGCTTTCGTGAGTGACATCTATCACTGATTGACACGTGTTAAGTTTATGACAACAAAGTTAAGAAGCGTTAAGTTTATTAACACGTGTCAATCAATAATAGATGACATACACAAAATCGTGCAGAAGATGTGAACTCACAATATATAGGGATAGGATCAAGGGACAAACATTTTTACAAATATTTTTACTCTCTTTTTAAGCCTTTAGATTACATGACATCCTAGGGTCATAATTTATTAAGGGTAAATACATAGTAGCCCCTCAGGTTTGAGGTCTATTACAATCTCATACAACATCTTTAAAACATTTCACTTTCATACCTCAAGTACTATTTTATTTCAATTTCATACAACCGTTAAAAATTCTGTTAAGTTAACCATTAAGTGATGACGTGGCAAATATGAGGTCCCCATTTGTGCTGATGTGGCTGACACATTTATGCCACGTGAATAAACACTTAATAAAAAAATAAAAAAATTAGAATAATTAATTAAAGAAAAATATAAATTTATAAAAAAAATTAAAAAAAAAAAAAACCCAAAAATCCCCTTCGTCTTCCCCACCCCTTCCCCCCACCAGAGCCCATCCCCCCAACACCCACCCCCCTTCTCCCATCCCCCATCACCCGAGCCTCCCCCGCAACCTTCAATCTCCATCTTGCTCCAGATCTGTCAATCTCCATCCCAGAAGCCAAAAACTGGAAAAGTTCCAAATTTTCCCACACTCAACAGAACACATAGAAATCCAAACATTTCTTACCCATTTTCTCTCAATTTCCCTCTAACTAAACACACCATGTTGTCTTTCGAAAGAATATGCAAAGCCTACCTATTCAATTTCAAATCCTCAAAAACCCAACAAAACCAAAAAACTAAAATATCCAAAATTTTCCCCTCACCCTCTATCATTTTCTCAGCAACCAAACACAACCCAGAATCCCAATTAAAAAAAAAACCTTAATCAAACAAACCTATTTAGTTGAAACCCATAAAAAAAAGAAAATAGAAAGCAAATTCAAGAACAATGGGAAAATTATCAGCCGTTGGAACGCAAATTCAAAAGCATAATAGATTTGATTCAACTCGGAATTTGACCGAGCAAGCCCACCGTGGTCCATTGGAAGCATCGTTGATTGTAAGACGTCACTGGCAGCTATTTGGCGGAGTTGAGGTTGCTCGGTGCGGTGTTTGATGTGTTCGGGGACAAACTGGGCGAACATAGCCTGAAGAGGTGGACCAGATATTCCAGCTCTTGCTCTGCGAGTCCAATGACTCTTCCCCTTATTTGAATCGGACCAGCCTTTAAAACCTTTAGTGCTCGAGTTCGACCCGACCCACGAACCCCCATTGCGACGAGGCTTCAATCCACTCCCAGATCTCTCATTGCCTTGAGCAACACAGAGCACTCGAGCTCGATGACTGAGCTTCCCTAGTTGCTTGGTACGAGAATGGAAGAGGGTTTACTGCAATTTAGGTTTTTACGAGCTTGAATCGTAGAGAGAGAATATTAGGGTTTTTAGCTTAAATCGCAGAGAGAGGGGGAAGCTTTGGGTTAGGGAAACTGAAATTAAGGTTTTTACAAGCTTGAATTGCAGAGAGAGAAGATTGAATTGTAGAGAATTGGGTGTGATTTCGAGGGTTTTGGATTAAATGACAAGGGTGCATATGTGGTTTTGGGGGTGAAGGTGGGGGAACAGATGGAAGGGGAAGGAATTAGGGTCCATATGTGGTTTTGGTGGTGAAGGGAGGGGGACGGACGGAAGGGGAACCGACAGAGGGGGAAGTTGAGGTTTTGGTGGGGAAAAGAGGGGCCGAACGGAGGGAGGTGAGTTGGGGGGGAAGATGGGTTCTGGGAGGGAGAAGATGGATGGGGAGGGGTTGCGGGGAAGGTGGCAACCACGTGGCACACAGGTGGCAGCCACGTGGTACAAATGTGGCAGTCACGTCAGCTTTTAACGGATCAATGGATGGAAAATGTAACAGAGGTACTATATTAAAATAAAATAGGTGAGGTATGAAAATGAAATGTTTTAAAGATGTTGTATGAAGTTGTAATAGACCTCAAACCTGAAGGGTATTATGTAATTTACCCAATGAACATTAAATGACATTGATGCTTATGTGGATTTTAACTAATATTAAAAAATAAAGTAAAACTGAAAAAACATAAAATCTATAAGGAAATTAAATATAAAATTAAAAAAGGAAGATAATTTAAAACTAAAATTGGTGCTCCCATTCCCATTTCGATCAAGATTTGGATTCACACCCTAGCTGTTGTGAAAACATTACTATCCCATCCCAGAATAATTCATCTCATTCACAAGTAGGTATTCACCTCATACGAAATAGTCAAAAGTTAAATATAAACATCAATTGAGGAACTGAATAACTTATTCAATGAAAATTAAAACTGAATATATCCTGT